GTTTTTTGTTTGTTTGTGGGTTTTTGTTGGTTTTTTGGTTGGTTGGTTGGTTGTTTTTCGGTTTTATTTTGGTAAATCACAGTGACCAAATGAGGCATAGGAAATGTTCAACAGGAATTTGGGTGGTGTCCAGTTTGAGAGCCATTCAACAAACACATTGGGGTAATTGCCCAGCTCAGCGTACATATTTTAGCATATTGATATTTTGCACTTGCTGAAAGTCTTCTTTGGGAATAAAAGGCTGGGTAATCTTAAATCTGAGGGTATTTTGGCTTGAGAAGAGTTAGGAATTCTTCACTATAGACTGTGAGTCAGGAAGTCATCTCTCAGATTCGAGTTTAGTGAAGCAAATTTCAACCCTTTATGGGAGGACTGGTACAGGCTAAATGATGGGTTCCAGTGAAGTAGGTGTAGCCAGTGAGTGACTTGGTTTATGGTCAATAAGTGTAACAATAAGTCAAGCTCTGACTAAAAATGACTGTGTAGCTAAAGTGGATGGAAAGCCAAGCTGCTGCTCTGGCACTGTTGGGGCAGGAAGTAATAAAATCTTAACTCTGTGCCCCGACTTCCCCCACACTAAACAGGGTACTCTGACCTGTCACAGGCACTTCTCACTGTTGAGGAGCCTAGGCTCAGATTGGTTATAAAGTTCTTTTGTCCTTGTAGCCAGCAAAATTGCTTTAGAAGGGCACCTGCAGCCACCCTGATTTCCTGCTGCCAGTCACAGGGTGTCAGTACCAGACCACACTGGACATAAAATGGGATGAGCTACAGAGAGGCTGTGCAAGGAGCCCACACTAGTACCTTCTCTTTTTTCCTGCTGCTCCTCAAAGCCTGCCAGAGCCAAGAGCTCTCATTGTGTAAATCACAGATTCATGGAATGGGTGGGGTTGGAAGGGACCTCAGAGATAATCTGGTTCCAATCCCCCTTTTGTGGACAGGGACACTTTTACTGGACCAGACTGCTCAGAGCCCCATCTGAGCTGGCCTTGAACACTTCCAGGGATGGGGCAGCCACAGCTCCTCTGGGCAACCTGTGCCAGGGGCTCAGCATCCTCACAGGGAAGAATTTCTTCCTAATATCCAATCTAATCCTACTCTGTGTCGGTTTGAAGCCATTCCCCCTTGTCCTGTCACTCCACACCCTTGTAAGTAGTCTCTCTCCATCTTTCTGGCAGGCTAGCTTCAGGTACAGGCAGGCCACAATTAGATCACCCAAAAGCTTCTTTCACTTCTCTTTTCCAGGCTGGAGAAACCCAATTCCCTTGGATTTCCTCACAGGAGAGGAGCTCCATCCCTCTGATCATCTTGGTGGCCTCCTCTAGGCTACAGTAAACCACAGTAGAAGTTCAAGCTCAAGCTCAGCCTTGAGTTTAGAATGTAGAGATACACTTAATAATTCCTTTTTACATCTCTTGGGTATGTGAAACATCCAGGCTGTGCTAACGTCAAGAGAATTGCAGGAACAGAAATGAGAGAAATCTTTAAATTAGACCTTCCCCAGCAGCACTCCCTGCACATGAAGTTAATGGGTCTAAGTAAAAGACAACTCCAATACAGACATATGGAAGAGATTCTGCAATGGGTTTTTTCTTTGTAGAATTTACACTGTTTTCCTCTTTCTAGTAAAAACTAGTAACAAGACAATTGTCATGTGGATTTAGTTACTCTGGGGATATGAACAGTAAACAAAATTACTAAGGAGAGAAATTAAATCTAAACGTTTTTTTTTTCTGAAAGTTAGCAAACTGAAGCGCACTTCCAAGTCTCTGATACAAGGGAAAAAGAGGAACAAATTATTTTGAGCCATTTTGGATGATGGGCGGGTGGAATTGAGCTGGGAAAACACCATTAGTCACTTGGGAGCCATGACTGCTGCATTCCAAAGGGATTGCAACAGCAGCTGCTGGTGCTTTGCTGTGGTGAAGGTGAGACTGGCAGGTGCCAGTTTGGGATGGAGGCCAGCCTGAGAGAGGCTCTGGTGGCTCCGTGAGCACCACTGTGGGCGTGCCTTGCAGAGGTAAAGGAGGTGGTTACAGCCAAGACAGAAAAAGTGTTCCGAGACTTAATTATGTATGTGAGCAGCAAGGAAGAAGAAAGGAAATAGTCAAATGCCAGTGGGAGCAATGTGTAACATCTGAGGCAATCACTGTAAGTACTGAACGCCTGAACTTAAGAACTGGTCGATGCGGTTTGTCACTAGGGCTGTGTGTGAAGACCGGGCAACATCAGAGGCTTGTGGCTCTTATGGTTTCCAAGGAATATGAATTAAGGAAAAGAGAAAAAGACCAGCTGAAGTAGCTCTGGACAGCAATCAAACGCATTTGAGGTGATTCCCGGAACAAGCCTTGACAGCCTGAACATCCTGGAAACTTCCAAGGGAAGGAAGAACCACTGAATTATAATGTAAGTGGAGATGTTCTGTGCCAGATGTACTGCTGCCTAGGGGAAAGCTCTAGTGTTTGTCTTGGGAATAGGGCTGGCATGACTGTCATATTAGCAAGTACTCTTAGTCTTTGTAATAAAAAAACAAAGTTTCTCAAAAAGGTACAAAGAACCCTATCTTGTAAAAATCAACCTTAGAAACAGCTGCTGGAGCTTAACTTTTGTTATTTCAGCTGGTTTTTCTTTCTCTGTAACTTAAAATTCAGGCTAATTTATTTTTAAGTCTTTACTGAGTGCTAAAACATCATCAGTGGGGCTGCAGAATCTTAAGCAGATAATCTTCAAAACTACATCATTTTTTACTTGAACTCTTTTACAAAATGATGGTACAAAACCAAAAAGAAATATAGTCATGGTTGTTAAAATAGACAGGCTTAAAGTTTGTGCTGACAAAAAGTACTCAAGGTTATTAGTTTGTCAGTTCTTTTTGAAATAAAACTTTTGAGAAATATTAATATATGGAGCTAACAGGTAAACAGATACTTATTTCTAGTGGGAGCTTATAATTTTATTTGTCAGAGGGTATTGGAGATAATATTAGGCAAAAAAAAACCCTTCTGAAACCAACCCACAGCTATTGGACAGAAGTGATATTAACCAACATGGAAGTTAAGTCATCAGGAAATGCTCCTTTTTCCTTCAGACAGCTTTTACGTCCCACCACGCTCCCCATTTCCTCATCCTTAAAGATAACTTATTCATGGCACACCTATTATCTCTGTAGGAAGTTCTTCTTGTCTTGGGATTCAGGAGCATGCATTTCCTCTGAGTAAATAATTTTGGTATCTCCTCCCGTAATTACACCCACGTTGAGTAGGAACTCTGGCATTAGACAGACATATATTATAGGAACCAGTTAATTCGTTTGACAACTTTACAGGTATTAATAACAACTGCTAAGTACCTCTCCCTTCTCTCAAATTTCAGCTGACAGCACGAAAAGATTGCTGGGTTTGTTCTTTTTATGATTGATGTGACTTGGACATCCTTGAAGAACAAAATAGAAGTTGTATGCAATTCTCATAAGCTGAGGGAATGGCAGGTGAGTTCTGCAAGTCATTTGCTTCCATTCAGCAGGTATTTACTCAGGGCTGTTTCCTCAGGATTCATGCCCTGTAGGTATCTGCTCAGATTTCTTATCTGAAGGTAATTTTATATTGCAATTTGTTCTTGCACTTCATTTTCAAAGTTTTAATGTTGGTATTATTAAGAATTGCTTCAGAATAATTTTTGAGCTGAACAGAGGATATTGGGACAGGGAGGAGAAAAGAAATTTTCATTACTTCAAAATGCATAATTTTTAAAATGCTTTGTCAGACATGTGTTATTCTTGGTATTAACAAAATTTGTGTAATCTGTTCTAATGGAGCTGTGAGCATGGAACCTGTAGATGGGAATTCAAAGATATATTAAAACCCTACCAAAGGAAAATAGTAATGAGAGTATCTCTGCTTTTTCAAGTTTAAAATGAAGATGATTATTGAGACAGGCAATTGCAAAACAGGGCTCTTTCTCATTTAATGCTGGAAAAAACATTTACAAATCAGCTTTGCAGGGAGAGCAGCAGCTAACTGCAGTTTGCTGTTGCCCATATATTCATGCTAAAAATTCTCCTTTTCAGCCCATCAATACTTTCTCATATTACCTCTTTGTTGTCTTAAACTACCAGAAAAAAAATTCCCTCCTTGAATTTAATTATAGCACCTTTTTGCATAAATTAGTTTTACTTTTATCTCTTCTTCAAGGATTAGATGTAAATTGTGGTTTAATATGCAGCTATATTGTTTCAAATCTGACTTAGTATTTCACTGATAAGCTCTATGGTATAGACCTAGAAGCTTGTTTGAAGATCCCTACAATAATATTGCATAGGCATTAATCCATCCTTTCCATCTTATTCTTTTTGTTATTATTGTTTTCTTTTGATTTCCCTTTAAAATGGTGGTGTTCATGTGTCCCCATCCTGTCCCCACTCCCCTCATCTCCAACCTCATTGCATTTATGACACTAACCTTAATAAAAATGACTTAGAAGAGCCTTCACCAATGTACTTGCCCTGAGCATTTGCCAAAACTTGAACCATAATTCTCCAGGTGTATTGTGTAGAGTCTCCCAGGGCAGATATAAACACAGAAGGTGCTTCTCAGCATTCCCAAAGACAGCATAACTGCTCAGGTTTGAGCATGGCAACAAAACAGAGAAGGGAAAACAACCTTGCAAGGAATATCATATATATATATATATATTTGCCTGCCAAAAAGGCAGTTTAGCATTTGAGGTGTCAGGAACCACTTTATGGGGTTTAAACCACAGACCATAATAACAGCATATGTGCAGGAGGACACAATATCAGAGAACTCCAGGCACACTGCAGGAATTCTTCTATGACATGAAGTTATTGCTGACTAGAACAGGAACTGCAGTGGTCCAGTTGTCACTTTGAACAGACGGGTGGACTGACTTTCAAAAGCTTCAGCATGTCCTCAAATACCTCTTGTTCATCCCTATTAGACAGATGATCTCTCACTATGCATTTTTCCCTGCATCTAGGCCAAATGGCATCAGGATCTAAGCAGGAAAAGGAAGATGTTCTAATTGCCATTCCTGCCATCCTAAAGATATGTATGTTGAAAACGTGGAGAGGCTACAGGACACTTTCTTTGGTGCTGCTGATGAAATGACACCAATTTGCCCCCGTAAATTTCTTTTTAAGTCCAGTGGTAAAAGAGCACCCAACCCTGTAGAGGAATTACATAAGTACTCTGTTTGAGGGCTCTTTAATAAAACACAAGGAAAGATTTCCATTATTGACCAATAGACTTAATTTAATGGGGCATCTGCTTTGTAGTTGTACTTCCTCCCACAAAAGGTAATTGCTCTTAGTAACCTCATCATGCCACTAAACAGCAAATGAGCTCATGCCAGTTGCTTCTTCATGACTTTTCTTGTGTTTTATAGATCTGACCCCAACACACATCAGCTGGCAGCCATCAGTGAATGCAGCCAACCACCACACTGACAGATATGCCAACACTGAGCTGACTGTGAGGCGAGGACAAGCCTTCAACATCACCCTGTACTTCAACAGACCGAGGCAGAATGGGGAGAGCCTAGGATTTGTCACTGAAATAGGTAACGTTCCCATAGCTTAAGCCATGTTCTCAGAGAGCTGCAATCTTTATTCCCTGTAGTTCTCTCCTTATTCTATTTACAGATGTCATTTTCCTGCCCGTATTTTTAGTGCTTCCCCCACCCCAATATGCCCAATTTCAAGTGTGAGGGTAATGTTGAAATCCGGAATGGAAACCGGTGACTCCTTCTTTCTGGCAGGACCATCCCCCTCGGAATCTCACCGCACAAGGGCAGTGTTTAACCTCTCTGAGGCGGGGGGCAGTGGCTGGAGTGCTGCCCAAGGACCCAGTGGTGACTCTGGAGCCGTGAACTTCACAATATCCAGCCCAGCCAACGCCGTCATTGGGAGATACAACCTCAGCCTCCGGGTCACCTCAGGGAACAAGATCTACCCCAGATACCTGGGCCAGTTTGTGCTACTCTTCAACCCCTGGTGCCCAGGTAGGTGCCAATGCCTTTGCTCTTGAGCACAGCTGACCTTGCTGCTCTCCTACCTGCACAGAGCTGCTCCCTCAAGCTGTCTCTCTTTGGGTCACCAGAGGCTGCAATCTCAGCTCTGTGCTCAGAGATCTGGTTTCACTACATAAAAAAGCTGCTGCCAACACCCCACCCCCTTTGTACCCTAACAAAATGTGATAGATGGGGTTATATCACAGACTCTTCAGAACTGAGCAGATCACTTTTTCTGACAAGGGCTTCTCTGGGCAAACTCTTCCAGTGCATCACTGCCATCTGGTAAAGAATTTCTTCCTAACAGCTAATCTGAATCTCTCCCTTTTTAGGTTATAACAGCTCCCCCTTGTCCTATGACTCTCAGTCCATGTAAAGCATTGCTCTCCCTCCTATTTATAAGCCCCTTTAGGCACTGGAAGGCTGAAATGGGGTTTCCCTGGATCTTTCCCTTCCCCAGGCTGAACACCCCCAGCTCTCCCAGCCTGGCTCCAGAGCAGAGGGCTCCAGACCTGGGAGCAGCTCTGTGGCCTCCTCTGGAGGCTCTGACAGGTCCACATCTTCCCTGTGCTGAGAACCCCAGAACTGGAAGCAGTGCTCCAGGTGGTGTTTCACAAAGGCAGAGCCAAAGGGAAGAATCCCCTCCCTCAAGCTGCTGCTCATCCTGTGCAGCCCAGGATGTGGTTGTTGTTCTGGGCTACAGGCACACACTGCTGGCTCCTGCCCAATGCCCATGTTCTTCATTTTGGATTTAAAATGGACATCTCTTGTTGCTCCAGCTTTTCATTTCTGCATTTCTTCTGCAACATGCTGAGGCTGCAAATTTCTAACGTCATACTTTGCAACTATGCAATAGTCTAGAAATCAAGATTAGCCTGAAAACATGACACTCTAGTGTTAAGAGCCATCCTGGTGAGTAAACAGCTTATAAAAGAAAAGTAGCCACAATCATCCACATTTTTTTTTCCATGACCATACGTTAGTCAAGAGCCACTAAGAAATGCGTCAGTAGCCAAGATGAAAAAAGCTGCTAATTATCTCAGCAAGTCCTAGAAGACAGAAATAATTATACAAATATGTTCCGGAAACTCAGACCATCTCTGCACAGTCCTGAGGGAAAAAGCCTCCCCAGAAACCCCTGAAAAGTAATTTGTGTGTAACTTGTAAATGATGGAAACCACACTGCAGGGACAGCAATATTTGACAACTCCTGAACTGGAACATCAGCGTGGCAATGGTACTCAAGAGACCAAACTCTTCTCAGATGAAAACAGAAAAATTAAGCTGTGCCCATTACAATTTTAAACTAATGATTTTGCAGAAGAGTCCTCCAGATTTACCAGAGGCAATGGCTACTGAGAGATAAAAGGGAGTATCCTTAATGTCGAATGGAGGATGCTGCTGAATAAGTTCTGCAGAGTGCAATACCTCCCTGATCCTGAAAACCAGGAACAGATTCGGTTTGAGGGTATGTTACCACTATTGTAAGTGTCATAGCAGAAGGGAAATTGGAAATTTATTTTCTTGGCAAAGGATAAATGGCACATCTGTTCTGTAGATATGGTTCCAGGTGGGAGATTAGTCCTTAAACTGAGGAATACAAAAATTAATTCATTAACTGTAATATCAGTAAATAACTACTTATAAGAAAACAGTCAAGACTAAGAGAGGAAAGAAAAAATAGTGGATTGGAGAACAACTACTATAGAGTGGATCTTTAAATGTCATCTGAAAAAACACTCAGATCAAATAGCTCATCACTGACTTTGACATGCTGACATTAAACAGCATTGTCATGCCCAAATGGGCTGGGACAACACACAGAACTAACTGGCTGACCTTAGAGAGTGGAGAAGGTAAGAAGAAATAAGACATAATATTAGGAAATAAAAGACCACACCTCTAGGGAGAAATAACAATGATTTCAGTGACAGACTTATCACCTGGAAATCATGAAGAATGTGAAAGCCTTTGTTAATCAAAGAACAAGAACCAAAGTGAAATGGCCCTGAAAAAGGAAAATGCAATCTTAAGCTGTATAAGAGAAAACTGTTAGACAGATTTAAATGTTGTTGCCATTGGATGAAATGACAAGAATTAAATCTTGTTCAGTGAAGGGTTACTAGGATAAACGAACACATGAAAAATCTTCTGGACAAAAAAAAATTCTAGTTTAGCAAGCTGTAAAGGTTTCTTGAGAGCATATAAACCTTAGGGAAAAAAAGATGTTCTTCAAGCGATTATACAAGGACATTTAGATTGCTCAGAATAATAAACTCATAGTGCTAGAAGGATCTTAGAAAGTCATCTAGTCCCATGCCAGGGCTCTAAACCAGGTTCAGTTCAGCACTTAGGTCATTCTTGAGAGGTCCTGAATTCCTTCTTAATGACCAGCCATTAGGGGAGCTCCAGCACCTCCCCCGGCAATTCCCTCCAATAAAGCACAAGCCTTTCTATTGGATCTTTATCCTATTAGCTAACCAAATATTTCTTGCTTCGATTTCAGTATATAATTTCTCATCCTACATATGATAGACACCAGGAATTATTTTTATTTCCTCTTGCCCCATCCTCTTCACAAGAATTTCTGGAATTGATTACAATACTTGCCCCATTCCTCACCCCCATTTTCTTCCTACCTTAAATAATTATGAGTTAATTCATAATTCAGATTTTCAGGAATGCTGAGCATTCTTAGTGCTCCTCCCACCTTTTCCAACTGGTCCAGACCATGAAGTGCAGTTCCTGAAACTGCACACAGGTCTTCATGTCCATGCTACCCCAAAACCTCAGGAACCAACAGTGATGATATTATTTTTAAAAAGCGTGGACAATCAAAAAGTGTGGTTTTGTGTGAACCACAGAATAGATTTATATCACGTGATACAATTTAAAAAATAAATTGCAATTTTTTTATTTGCAGGAAGGGAAGGATGGGAACTTCCTATAGGAAGGTAAAGAAGTTGATTCAATAAAATAGAAAAGCTGATCTTTTTGTATGTATTTCCTGAAATCTCGAATCTTTCAGAAATTATCTTTAAACATTATAGAATTAAAAGCCGAGCTAAGCAGATATTGCTATCTAAAGAATGACCAAAACAACCTAAACCTCTGTGGGAACCAACACTTTCATAGCTACTAAATACTGTGCCATAAACTTGGAAAAACAATGAGGAACAATGAACTCCAAGTGAATGACTGAGCAGGTTATCCTAATAAATTCCTGATAGGACTTTGGATCAGGCAAGCAAAGGTCTTCATTTAGGAATCTTAAAACAAACACATCTGGAAAAGAGAGAAAAATGTCATCTGTGTGGTTCTTTTGAAATATCTGTTCCACTTCAAACCACCCTGAGAAAACAGAAAAATTTGGTGACCTTTCCCCCTGGACCTTTGTCTATCTTCCTCACAAAAAACCCCTGTGCAGACAGGGGACATTTAGACAATACACAAGTCTACACTAAAAGTAGGGGAAAAAAGTTGAGTAATAAAATATGGATCCATCTTTCACCCCCCCCCAGACACCTTCCCTGGCAAACATTATCACTGAACTGCACCTGTCCATGGAGCTATTCTAAATAGAATAACAATTCTATTTTGCAAATAGAAGTTTTCTCCTTGCTAAATCAGGACAAAAATTTTTCTGAAAGGTTGCTGGTATTCTCAGCTTTAAGCCTGCCCACCTTGGTTTTCAGGTGATGATGTCTACATGTCCAATGAAAACGAGAGACAAGAATATGTTCTAAATGAAAATGGAATAATCTTTGTGGGTAATGCAAGGTACATTGAAGCAAGAGGGTGGTATTATGGACAGGTAAGTCACATGGAATTTGTTTGGACTCTCATTCTGTCTCCAACAGCATTTATCTTATCATTATTTGCTGTTTATATAATAACTGCACAAACCTGGGTGGTCTTACTTGTGGTTTGCTCACAGTGTGCCCCAGTGTCCCTATCACCTTTGGGCTGGGATAGCTCTGAAAGGAGGAACTGCAGTAAAATCTCCTTTAATTCTGTTTGTGAAACCATCCATTTTCTCAAAAATATATCTTACCTGATCACAGTTTCAAGACCTTCTAAACATCTGTCTCACCATGCTTGATCTGAGCCTGTACTACCGCCAGGACCCAGCCATGGATGTATCCCGGAGAGGAGATCCTAAATATGTGGGCAGAGTAATCAGTTCTATGGTAAGAAATGGGCAAATTAACCCCAGTCCCACATGAGTGAGCAGAAAGCACCACAGACACTCAGCCCCCTGCACCCTGAGCAATAGAATGAGCTAGATGCAGTGCATTACAGACAATTCATTTTGTGCATTCTGTCCTTTGGGCTCTATTTAGATCAATGGGAACGATAATGACAATGGAGTTCTCCTGGGGAAGTGGCAAGGGAGTTTCCACTCGCATGAGAACCCATCCAGGTGGGATGGCAGCGTGATCATCCTCAAGAAGTGGCGCCAGGACAACTACAGGCCTGTTCAGTACGGCCAGTGCTGGGTTTTTGCAGGTGTGATGTGTACAGGTAAGCTGTCAGAATAGAGGACTGGGGTGAAATGGAGGCATCTGGGACCTCTGGTTTTATCAAAAGTGCAAAGCAATGATTTCTATAAAAGGAACAGTGCTGTGAAGACCACTAATGCTGAAGAATCACAAAATATTTAGACATCTTGTTTCTCAGATATTTGTAATCACTGAACTAAAGCTGTGTGGGTTCTGTTGCATTTCTTGCTCATTTGTATTTTTTTATAAAATATATTCCAGTTATGAGGTGCTTGGGGATTCCAACTCGTTTGGTTTCAAATTTTAACTCTGCCCATGACGTGGATAGAAACCTGAGTATCGATAAGTACTATGACAGCTCTGGAAGGAGTCTTAATATCAGCAAGGATTCCACATGGTAAATATTATTTCTTCCATCTCACCAACAACAATAGAGAGGATCTAGGAGAGTTAAAAACATGAACACTAGTAGTACAAAAGCAACTGAGTGGGCAAAATGTAATATAAGCAGCTAAATTAATGCTGCAGACATTCATTTAGAAAACAAACAAACAAGATACTTCATCATTTTCTCCCTCCCTGCCCTGAGGTCTATACTCAAAAGCAGGCAGTAAATCTGTCCTTTGAAAGAGGTACTGTAACTTGACAGTTTGTGTCTCAGTTTAGAGTTTAGATTTTTTTTTTTTAAAATTCACTACTCTTCTCCAATTGCAAGTTTGCATGACTCTATATTATCATGCTTTTTAGACATTGTTCTTTGTCTCCAGGGATTACCATGTCTGGAACGAAAGCTGGTTCATTCGCCCAGACCTGGGAAGATCCTACAATGGGTGGCAGGTTTTAGATGCAACTCCACAAGAACAGAGCAGAGGTAACAGCCTAAGTTCTCAGCCTGAATTAAGAGTCCTTCTCCAAACAGAGCACAACTAATAAAGTTTAACTTTTTTTTCTTTTTTTTTTCACATTTTAGGAATTTTTCAGTGTGGCCCTGCATCTGTCTTAGCCATCAAAGAAGGTGAAGTAGACCTGGATTATGACACCTTGTTTGTGTACTCAGAAGTGAACGCTGACTGCAACAGATGGATTGTATACAATGATGGAACTAAGAAAAGAATTTATTGTGATACTGAGATCATTGGCAGGTCTATCAGCACCAAAGCTGTGGGCAGCAATGGCCGTGTGGATGTCACTGCTAACTACAAATATCCAGAAGGTAAAGGAATTAGCACAAATTATCTCCTATTGTTGTCTACTGAATCCTTGGTGCTGGGAAGCTACAATGGGTCACCTGCTTACTTTAAATATCTCCCCCCTGCCTTCAGAAGATATTTCTGCCAGTGTGCTCATGTTACTTTCTTAATACAATGAGTGTTATATTTCTGGGTTTGTGCATTCAGTAGCTTCCTCATTAAGGGACAATACAAAATATAACTTAGTCCCTTCCACAGAAGTGTAAAATTTAATGCATACACAAAAGAGGGCTATAAAATGCATTTTACTACCCAAGGTAGACAAACCCTCAGGGTTTCACTCCTCAGTGTTTTAGTGCAACCATATTTAATACAGAGGCTGGCTGTCATCAGATCAGCAGAGTATCACTTAGCACACCACTGCATGTTCTGACCAGAGAAAAAGAAATCTCACTTCTAGAAAAATATAAATGCATTGTATTTCATATTAGTGATATATTCACCTTGTAACAGTATATCTCCTGTGAAAAACCTGAATGAAGGCTTGATGAAGATACAGGGACCTTTTAGGTACTGCAAATTTCTGAGTGATGCTGATACCCTGTATTGGTCTGAAAACCTTTACACAGCAGAAGTACATTTGCAACAAAAGTAGAATTTTACTTGGTTCTCTGCTTCCACCAGGATCTGCTGAGGAAAGACGAGTCTATAAAAAAGCCTTGGCCAAGATACTGGGGACAAGTGTCACAGAGGGACGCACAGACTCTCCTGGGGGAAGATCTGCAGAGACAATGAGAAACCCTGGGATCGCTGGGAAATTCAAGCTGGTTGAACCTCCAGTTTTTGGCAAAGACATTAACCTGGTCCTGGTCCTCAACAACCTCTCCTCTGACCGCAAGAGAGTGAGGGTGGACATGAGTGCCTCCACCATCCTGTACACAAGGAGAGCAGTGGCAGAGATCCTGAAGGCAGCCACTTCTGTGGAGCTTGGTCCTAAACAAGGTAACCTTTAATGTCCCTAAGGAGCCAATGTAGCTCTGCTCCTAGCCACAGGAAGGCAACTGGAAGGAAGCAGCCTCAGTATCATACCTGTATCAGCTTTGTAGTGCATCTACTCATTCCACCTCTTCGTAGCATTTGTTTATGAGTACATTTTACATTATTTTTTTCCCTCTGAAAATTTTCACTAGTTCAAGCATTAATTGGATGTCCCATGAAATATCACATAGAAGGCTCCACTTATGTTATAACTCCAGAAGCAGCACTATATGTGTATGTCATGGTTTCTATATGTATATATGTATATATATGTATATATGTATATATATGTATATATGTATATATGTGTATATGTATATATATGTATATATGTGTATATATGTATATATGTATATATGTATATATGTATATATGTATATATGTATATATGTATATATGTATATATGTATATATGTATATATGTATATATATGTATGTATGTATATATGTCCTTGTGTGTGTGTGGTGATTATTACATTGGAACACATCTTACCCTTAACAAGTAAAAAGAGTCTGATCTGTGCCTTCTGGCACTCAACAGGCAACACATGAAAAGAAATCAACTAGGAAAAAGTTTAAAAGCTACAGTGAAACTCTATCTCTCTTTTGAAGAGTCAAGACTACTGAAATTATCATAGAGATCTTTTTCATCCCCAGGGGCTACAAAGATAAACATTTTTCCCATACACAGAAAAGTTGTAGGACTACAGTGAGCAGCTGACCAGGTCACTTGAAAAGGATCTCTGTGAAACTTGACCCAAACTTTCTTCTCGACTGAGGTAAAATAAAGAGAATATAAGGAGGGAATAGATTAAAATGGTTATACCTCTAATCATAAGAAATACAAAGGATCAGGAATCCAGTGAAATGCAGATGAGCAGACTCCCTTAGTTTCAGGCCAAAATCCTCTATTCAAAACTGTAAGGGTCAAATGAGTTAAAGTAGGCAAGGATCACCAGAAGAGGGAAATACACAATCAGTGTCACAAGAAGGAAATATAAAAAAACTGCACTGCCATTTTTTTCTCTTCAGTAATTAATAAAACCCCTCACTATAACTCTTTTTTCTTTAGTTTGCTTTGAAAATGGAATGGTTCCTAAATATATTTCTGAATTCTAGGGAAGCATGTCCGGGTAAAGATCCCTTATACTCATTATGGAAAATATCTGACCACTGACAAAAGGATCCAAGTTACTGCTTTGTGTGAAGTCATGCGCACGCACGGGCTGAAGCTGCTGGTGGAGAAGACAATCATTTTAGAGGACACAAACATCATCATTAAGGTGAACAATTTTCTCCCTGATGTTCTGAAGAGATGCTAAAAGGTCTTTCTGGAGCTCAGATCTTAAGATGAGAATTTGGGGATAAACACATTACTTTTAGGCTGCCATTTCAGATGTTGTTCCAAAATTCTGCCTGCTGGAATTGAGAATGCAGGGATTTGAGAGGCCAGTTCTGAATCTTGGCCTGAATCTGCCCCATTTTTCAGAACTGCTCTGTTACTTTGTTTTTTTCCCAGTCACAAGCCACTGCCTTATGTTCCACAGTACTTGTTTTCATCCCATGTATTGGCAAGTGCTTGTGCTGTCCTTAAAGAACTTTGCAAAATAAAGGTTTAAACCCTTAATTCGAACCAGTGCTAGAGCCACTTCATACTGTTTTAGCACTTTAATCCTAATGATGTGCCAAAAAAAAAAAAAGCCACTCAGCAACCAAAAGATCAGACAGGTTTCATGGGACATGTCTGTGTATCCAGGGCTCCATTTCACTGAAATTATGCACAAAACATTGCAGACAGCTGGACAGCCCTACTGAGCTAAGCCACACCTGTCACTGTTGAGTCTATACAAATAGACACACTACATTTCAGAAGGCTAACATCCCATTTATTACAACAGCTAGCTGTCTTTTACTCTTTGTTGGTTGGTTACAGTAGGTCAACACAACATTGATTTGTGTAAAACCCATCTCCACCTCCGTTTTTCCCAAGACTTTTCTAAAAATACTTTTCCCAGCTGCAGGTTTTCTTCCTCGCTTATCTCCTTCTCCTTCCTCTCTTCTTGGTGTCCAGGCCAACGGCCTTGATAGAATATCTTTCAGAAAAAAAACCCTTATTCCTTAACCCTCTGTGGCTCACAGACAGCTGTGAGCCCTACCATACACATCCAGCTTCCAGCACCAGGAAAGCTGATGTTTGTCAGCCACGTGCAGCTCCACTCAGTTCTGGCTCCAGGAAAGTGTAGGCCAGCAGGTGATGAGAAATGTGTTTTGTCCTGCAGCTGCCCCGGAGGGTTGTGGTGAACAGAGCCGTGTCCCTGGAGATCTCCTACGCCAACCCCCTGCCCGAGCCCGTGAGCCGCTGCGTGCTGCTCGTGACCCTGATGAACCAGCAGGTCAAGATAAAGTAAGTGCAGGCTGCAGCAATCACCCACGGCTTCCAACAGCATGTCTGATTTCTCAAACAGAAAGAAGAAAAAAAACCACCACACTTGACTCATCTTTTTTTATATTTTCTATTTCTGAAAACAAAAATGTCACCAAATATGTATAGGTATATGATTCCTTAATCATGTTTTTTCCACATAGAACTTCTTTAACAACTCAAACCTGCTAACATTATTTTTTCCTGGGAAAGCAAATGTATATGTTGAATTCTTTTGTCTCTCTGCAGCTTCTTCTATAGTCTGGCTTTCTGTTCTTATTTCCATATACAATACTCTGATACTACAAAGAGAATTAGACTAAAACAAACAAGGCAGACACTCCCCTTGGTTCAGTCAAAACAAAAAGTTGCTCTGTTCTTCTTTAAAGCAGGAAAAACTTGCCTTTTCAAAACATAAAAGCAAATTGTTCTTTTTTAAAATTTTCTTTTCCTCCAGACTCTGCTGCTTTATGGATCAGCTCAGTGTTGAGTAATAGTTTGTATTTCCTAAAGCTTCTCCTATTGTAAACCAGCCTGACTTGCTTTGGCTGTGGAACTATTTGGACTTAATAATTCATAAAAACAAAGAAAACATTATTCCAGTAAAAGACTAAGCCAATTTAGGCCAAAAAAAGAGCTATAAACCAAAGCACATGGCCATTAGAAAAATCATTATTGCCAAAATGGATATGAACAAAGCAGGCATTGGACAGAGCACTGACCTGTGACATCAGAGTTTTTCTATTCTGAATTTGTGCTGACTATCCAAATCTGCATCCAGCCCTAAGATGGAGCTGTGACACTGCACCTCTCTTTTCCATAATTCCATTTGAGAGTAGAGGAAGATGGTACTGTCCTTTCTCATTTCTTAGTCTACATAAAGCCTCAAACCCCAAGTAATTCTCAAAAGCCATGGCTGGGTCTCAAGCAACTGCAGTTCTGTTTCTTGGGAATCTCATAAAAGACAATGCAAGCCTGAACTAATATTTTTTTCTTTTTCTATTATTTTTTATTTTCAGTTTGGCACGACTGGCACCGAGGGAGAGATCAAAGATTTATTTCGAGTTCACACCTCGCAGGGTTGGGCCCTTACAGCTGCAAGTAGACTTCTCTTGTGACAAATTTTCACACGTTAAGGGATTTGTGACAATTGCAGTAGCACCTGCATAATGTGATGGAATCAACCTTCCATTTCAGCATAAACACAGCAAGACCCTCTCCTCTGTATAGGAACAGTGGTGACAGAAAGGAACTTTGCACAAAGATTGGTGACCTCTTAATTGCAATAGAATCAAGTCTACTTTCATGGTGCTTAATTATTTAGTCTCTAATTGTATTTCTCTTCCCTCCCACCCCCTGACAGAAGAAAAAAATGAAACCCCTTCTTTGTAGAAATAGTTTCACTATTTTCAAATCTCATTCTGTTAAGCTCCCAGTTTGGACTTTTCCCTCAGATAATTAATACAATCTCCTTTTGACCACATTCTAATTGTCAGCAATAAATAAAAATCCTTCTCAACTGTATTGTTTTGTAATGATTTATACATTGCATGGGGGTAGCACAAGAAATCACAAGACTGAGGAAAAGGTTTTTTCCTTCATTTTGCAAGCCACTAACCTAGAAGAGTAGAACATTTCCTCCATTGTTCACCTTTCTGTATTTGTGACACCTACAGGTCCATGAATGGGGAGAGAAAAAGCCTAAGAAAGCTGGGAAAAATGATGCTTGGGGTCCATGGCAGTATTTGTGTAGCCTGTGGGCACAGAGTCACCGAGTGGAGAGCACATGTACATATTCAAAACAGTGACTTCATTCTTATGCATCCTGTGAGTCCCAGGCACCACACAGGAGGGTTTTGCAATAGTGGGGCAGCCCAGCAAGGTCACAGAGGACAAGGAACACATTTGTCTTCAAACCTTCCCCGTGCTCACTCAGGGGCAGCCCTGACCCCACTCTTGTCAGAAATCTCTTTTGTGGGCTCCCAATCCCAGCATTTCCAGGGACCAGGTGTCCCCTGAAGCCCCCCTTGGAGCAGCTGTAAGGATCCCCTGTTCCTGCAGCCTCCCCAGGGCTGCTGTGACAGGTAAGGACTGACCAGGTACGGGAGCTGCCAGGTCACCCTCAGAGCAGGATGTGGGGCAATCGTGGTGTGCAAACAACTCTGCCAAGCCTCAAGAGTTATATTTGCTGTATGACATACAAAAAGTTTACAGCAGAATTAATAAGCCAAAAGAGAGCTGTCAGGAGTCATGGACATGGGTATTTTTGTCTAGGAGTTGATCCTGAGTCTGAAGAATCCAGACATAATCACAGATTTTTACAGAAAAAAAAAAAAAGCCACAAAAGAAACTACAAAATACCCCTTTAGATTCCCTTTTAAAAATATATATTTATTTAAACTGCAGGCAATTAATTCGCCTTTTTGGTTCCCAGCAATCCTTATATGAAAGTGGAAACAAAACAGAAAACAGAACTGAAAAAAAGACACAAGGCAAAATGTAGAGGTGAGGAAAAGAAGAGATCATCCCTTCTCCTGACACCCCTTACTCCTCATGACAGTCCACTGGAAGTCCAGAGCAGTCTGCAGCCTACTCTTGGCACAAATTGGCAGGACATGTTTTCAGATAAACTGCTGCACAGGATGAGGGAGGAGAGGGCAGGAGGAGCAGAGAGTGCCTGTAATTACAGTGGGCAGGGCTCACACCAGAAGAGCAGCTCTGTAGCTTCCTCCAGGGCCCTACCAACCTTGCCATGCCAAACTGCTACAGAGAAACTATGTGCATGTATGATGAGCACCAAACTACAAAGAAAAATTATTAGAAGCAGAGGCAGCCATTAAATGCTTCTCTTTACTTAACACAAGTCCCCAATCACTGCTCAACTGTGTCCCTTCCCTGGTAAATGTTACTCCTTACAGAAGAAATGCAGATTATAGGTAATCATGTCAGAACAGGTAATGAGAAGGAAGCATTATTACAATAATGTTGTGGCAAAGACAGAACAAATTCTATGCAGTTATGTGGAAGATCTTCAGAAAGATATCTTTAAAAAAAAAGAAAAAGTGGGGGGGGAAAAAGCTACTGGCAGTAACATTAACTATTATAAATCCACTCAGATCACTCCATGTCCCACATAGCTGTGCTGTACCAGAGGTATATTAGTCTACACTTGCCCTCTGTACACACAAAAACCTAAACTGGCACAAACCAAACCATCAAAAATTAAGTTGCTGCTGTCTACTTAAATAAGTATTTCCTTCATTAGATCCAATTTTGGCTGCTTTCCTCTCTAAAATGCCAGAATACTGATTATCATCTTTCCTCAGCCATTCCCCAGTTTTACATAAGGATAATTAGATTCAAGATTGTGCAATTAAAGCAGTCATCAGTGGATGCTCACGTAGGATATCACTACAAAAACAGTAGCTACCAACCACAGGTCACACCCAGCTTGTATAAACTCCAGCCAGGTCCAGTCCTGAGCCTTTCATTACTGGTGCTGGTGGAAGAGGATTTAGAATGTTCTTGCTCACTTTTGTAACCGTAACCTGAGCTACGCACAAGTGTGGAAAAGAAGAAAGAATCCTTATGGCAGGTAAGTTCATCCAGCCTGATGGCTCCACACATCCCTCTTCCAGCCCAGATGAGCAATATTTGCTGAGGAAACAAGATAAATTACATCTAGCTGCTCTCTCAGGAACTTTGCTTTTTTAGGTTAAGTGTATTTATTGGTTTTCCTACTGGAACTGATTTTCTTTTTTTCTTTCATTATCATGGGTCTTGAACATTTTTTTTCCAATAACACAGGAAAGTAGCATAAGACAATATTTTTCTATCCGATCAATTAGCTGCTCTATTCAGCGCTTTTGTAGCCACCTAATTAACTATTGGCTAGTGGCTGGGGCATCAAACTGCTACATGGAAATCCCAGGCTCTAAGATCAAAGAAGTCTGGCCTCAGCCAGGTCACTTGGTGGCCTCTGGACTCGCAAGAGGGGCTGTGCCAGCCGAGTGCTGCTTGTCTGTCTGGGATTGCACTCGCTGTGCTCACTCTCATGCTGACTGTAAAGATCTCGAGTTAGACACAAGGACCATGGAATACTCACACACAGATCCTACATTTTAGCCTAAACGTGTTTTCCTGTTGGACCTTCAGCTTTCAGGCAGAGAGAACTCTGTGTGCACCATGGTCAGCATCTTCAGCAGTGACCACGAGGCTTTTCCTTCTGAGCGTGCTCCCAATGTCTGTCCATTACAGGACGGACACCCAAACAAATTTTTGGCCAATTGTATATTGACAGAATTATAGAAAATAAGTTTTCCTCACAGGCACTGAAAGAAGAAAAAGTAATCATAAGATTGAAGTTGAAACTGTGAAGATTTAAACAAGGATAAATTTGAGATTCACGTGGACAAAAGACTGGCATCAAGCTCTGCTGTGCTCTTGCCCCATATACAGAGATTTTCTTTCTGATCTCCTGCACATATTCTCTAGAAATGTCCATGTAGCCATGAACTTCACAAGGCAAATCAGACTATTGATGCAGTAAATTGTTAGAGCAAACCAATGTTAGCCACTGCCTTCTTTATCTTTCCTCCTTCTGCTCCCTTCCCCTCTTCCTCTGTTGGACATCTTGTGACATTCCACTCTGACAGTCTTTAGCAGAGCCTCACTAATATCAAACCCATGGCTCAGTTGCCATTAAATCCTCTTTGCATGACATTTTTATTTAGAAATGTGGAAAATGTTCTCAGTTTCCTGCATCCCTGCACAGCTCACAACACGTGGTGCTCTCTGCCCTGCAGAGCCTGGGCGTTCAGGACACACATGGATAAAATGCAGCAAGGCAAACTGAATCCTTTTCAAACCCTGACTCCAAGTGCCCTTGAGAAACAACTTTAAGTCACTCTTAAATTAAAGGACTTGATATTAGGAATGATGCTTTCCATAGGTCCCTTTCAATTAAACATGTTTAATCGAGGAAAATGAAGTGACGATGCTTTCCAGGCATTTCACATCATGTGACTCAAACATCACACAGCTGCCAATGGAATTTTTGTCTCCAGGTGACACATTTGAAGCAAGACCCTTTGCTGAAAACACTAACACATGCTTCTGCACACAGACTACAGGAAAGTCACTTGCTCCAGGCCTTTACTGCCTGGAAATGCACATTTCTTCCAGAAAGTTAAAAAATTAGTATAATTATGCCTTTATCAAGCCTTCACAGAATATAACTCCATGCTGCAAACACAGCAGAAAACTGAAATCTCACCCTCTCTATTATTACAGTAGAACCCTATGGACTCTCTCAGACACGGGCCCCTTTCTTGGTTCAGTGAAATGATTGAAATGTTGCTTACTGCACCATTATTCTGCACAGGGTTAACAAGCTCTAGTCAGAGTAGGAGGTTTTCTTTACCTGAAACTCCTCTGGAATATCATACTGGGAAAGGGCACTTTCCAAACACCTGTTTTCATAGGGGAATCTTCATTTTTATGCTTTGTTTTGTTCGTTGTTTGGGAATTTTTTAATTTATCAAGGAAATAGAAAGCTTGAAGCTTTTGTAATCTGAGCTTCAGTGCCTCATTTCTATAATTGGGCAACCTATCATGATACAATAGAACAATCAATACTACTGCCTCGAGATATGCCACTCCTCTGCTTGTAATCTTTTTCCAACAGAGTGTGAAATAACACCCAGCTTCAAGCTACAAGACTGTAAATTAATTTAGATACAAGATACATGAGAAGATAACAAGCAAGTTCCACGCTGAAGATACCAACTTCCTAGCCATCATCTGTGAGGCAGTGTTTCCAGAATCAGTCCTGCATTTCCTGATGAGAGTTTTAATAATTCTATCTGTAAATCTAGAAAACATTATGTGAACTAGATATCACCACAGAAAACATGCAGGAACACAAGGAATAGAACAAAGTCTTTTGACTTTAACAGTGCTACCTAAACACTGAAATTTTGATTTTTTTTTGTTTAAATCAAAGATTAATTTTCTGAATTTTGAATTTTTGAATTTTTTTTTTCTCTTTTTGAAAGAACCCTACAGAAAAGGGTTCATCTTTTAGCTGTTTTTCTAACTCCCTGGCCTTCAATTTTTAATAACAGTGGATTTTTCTTTTTTCCTATAGCACATAATGCCAGCTATATATA